CCCCCTGCCCTGCACTGCTCTTTCCAGTAGCAGGTATGACAGAGCCAGACCCATATCCAAGCGAACCTCAACATCCCAGTACATGCCCACAGTGTGCTCCTGGGCTGGGAGCTCCCCTCACTGCTGTACAGCAGCCAGGAGTGGAGGCAGGCACAACATTCAGTCAGTGACAGATAGGAGCTAAGGAATAAACCCCTCTCTTTCCTGCTTCCAGGTGTGAGGACACTGGGGTGTGTGTGACACAGTCTTCCAAGGTTCTGCGATGGGACTGAGCTCCAGTTGCTCACAGTGGTAACCTACTCAGTCACACACTCCTGGCCGTGTGACTTTCTCTCTCCTGTATCTGAGCTTCCTGGGATCACCTCCCAAATAATCCACCTACATTCCAATCCTTATCTCAGGATCTGCTTCCAGGAGATTCCAACCTAGGCATTCCAACCTAAGTTATTTCCTCTTTAAATACGGATACTTCAGGAGAGTCTTATGACTCCTTTCCCCTTGCCATGATGTTTACCAATTCAATTGTGTGTCTCCTCCACGACACTGGTTGCTTTACCCCTTGGAGATGAGCCCGGGTCTCATAGTGACTGCCTTGGTCTTACACAAACTGCTCAGATCCCAGGAGCTGCAGTTTGTCTTCTGGGAATGGAACCCTTCCCATCATGAAACATGGGGGCATCTTCCCTGTCTGGTGCCTCCCCTGCAGCGGGGCTGCTCCCAACCCCAGCTCTACCACCTCTCCCGACACGGCTCCAACACGGCACCGGGTGCACAACTGTCTTCTCACTTGGAAGTTCTTCTTCAGTAGAGCTTTCAGGTATTTCTTCTGCCCTACCAAGTCAACTCAAGCAGATGCTCCTTTTATTGGAAACATGAGCAGTTCAGAGACAGGCACTCCACTTTCCTTGGCTCACCTGACATAGCTGGAATACTGAGACCATTTCACTCTCTCCCAAGGTTAGGTACAAATGCAGCATCTAAATGGGTAACTGAAATATTTTGCATGATGTGGCCAGGCTGTTTTTACTGGATCAGGAATTTTTCCCAACTTTGGAAGAGAATTTCACCCGCACCACCCTAGATGGCAGGGCAGCAAGATGGCTAGTAGCATGGACGCCAAAGCCAAATGGTCTGGTTTTGAGTTTTGGCTCTGCCTCACTGTCTACTCTTAGGCAAGTTAATTAACCTCTCTGAGCCCTCCCATGAATGAAGGTAACAACAGCATCCACTTCCAGGATTGTTGAGAAGATCAAATGAGCTGATGAATATAAAGAGCTTCATGTAGAAGCTGGCACAGCATAAGTGTGCAATGATCATTGCCCATTGTTACTATTAGTATCAGAAGTGCAAGGAACAGCCTACATAACCATTTCTCCATGTGACCCTTGCACGAAGGTTTAAAACAGTGAAGTGGAACTCCCCAATTTGAACTTTAGCCCTATGATGAAATCCCCTGGTACTCCACAGCAATTCCAGCCAGGCCTAGCACAGTATAATCCTGCTGTGAAGTATCCAGTTCACTTCTACTTTTAGTAGAATATGTTTCACAGTATAATAGTTCAAAGAAACTTCACAACGCCTACCCCCAAATTTATACTCTCGTTCACAACTGCTATCTCCATCTCTTTTGGTACTTACGATTTGATGTATTTTTATGTATATTCTTTAGTCACTGCTCCTAGGCAAAACTGAGCAACTAGAACATGCCCATGCCTAAAGACCAAGAGAATTAGAGTTTACCCCCCAAACAACAAAAACAACAAAATGCAATGTATAATAGAGGAAAAGGATTATTAAATTATAGTAAAATCTGTGTGGATTCAAATGGGGGCTTGAACTTTGTCTTTTTGCTGCTAACCAAAAAACAAAAGTTTACTAAGTAAACTAATACTGGCAACGAGCTTGGGGAATGAGTAGACCAATTACTAATTCTCTTAAGAGAACACATGACCCTGAAGAGTAGCCACTGGATGCATGAAGACTCTGGATGTCTTATGAAACTGGGCTAGAGTTTTACCTTGAGAAGATGGACAACCACTACTTCATGACTTTTCTTAGTACAGTATCCAAGTTACTGCTACAGTTGAAAGGTACACAACCATTTAAAAGACATATCTTCTTGTAATTCAGAATTATCACTAATTTGATAAATCCTCTCCCCCTCATTAGTGCTTTCCACTTCATTGGCAACCCCAATTTCAGCTCCTAACTCTTCCTGTCTGAACCAACCCTGATTTCTTCAGTTCTACCAACTCCTTCCCCCAGTTCTTCCTGCACGGCACCACCAGCCTCATCTTCCTGCAGCTGCATGCCGGTGATGACGCTGCTCTGTCCACAGGTTCTGCCTTCACCTGCCCCAACACACGCAGACACACATATATACTCCCACACACATGCACACACGATTCCAGGAGGAAATCTCAGTCCTTAACCTGGTACGTATAAAAATTAACTGCCAGTCCCCGAAGACCGACAACTCTGGGAACAGAGACAAATTCATTTGACTGTCTAAAGAAGAGATGCGTGGGTTTCCACTGGAAAAGAAAATGTAACTCATATAAGGAATTGTTCTCAAAATAGTATATAAGGAGGATTAACTAATTCATCATTTTACTGAAATGTATTTAGTTCCATAATGTAACTTTCCAAGCTCATTGTCTACCACTTCCCTACAAGAACATTAGACTTTAGTCAGGCTGAACAACCAACCACTGGGCTTTCCTGCTTCTGCTCCTTTACTCATAACATCTCCGAACCTTAGAATGTCTACCATATTCCCATTGACTGACATCCTTCCCATCCTGCACACTAGTTCAAACACCACCTCCTCCACCAAGCCTTGCGCCACTCATGTCAGTGGAAGCAAACCTTTTTTCTTCATGCAGCACATGCCTACCCCATGTCACTGGCATTTATCACATAGTATCCTGTGCCTTAGAAAGGATATATCCTTGAAGGCCAACACTTGGAATTCATAGGGGGACCTACTGTGGCTTCTCATACAAATCTCTTGCTCAGAACCTACTTATTGACTTCAACCAGTGACACTATACTGTGCGCTTCCGGCCAGTCCCTGAAGATGGACAACTCTGGGAACAGAGACGAATTCATCTGACTGTCTAAAGAAGAGATGTGTGGATTTCTACTGGGAAAAAAAATGTAACTCATATGATAAGGAATTGTTCTGGAATTAGTATATAAGGATTAACTAAGTCATCATTTTACTGAAATGTATTTAGCTTTTAATTGATGGAACATCAATAGGAAACTGAAAAAGGCAAGATATAAATTTCTCAAAATGTTACCTAATTGATTCTTACATATAGTCAATAATTAAAGCTTTTAGGGAGATGACACCTTTCAATATAAAGGGAAATACTTCTCTTCTAATTATTATATGTAATATCTTTAAGGAGTTGTCAGCTGTATGTCTCTTGTCCTAATTTTAAATATAACTTAAGGAGACTACATAACTGTATGTAAGGTAAAGAATCAGTAGTGCAAATAGAAAAAAAAAAAAGTCTCCCGTTTTACTTAAGTACCATTGACACTGCCGTACTAAGAATGCGTTTATCAGGAATGGCATAGAAAGAACAAACCAGTTTATAGATTAAAAACACATCAATTATTTCATGACCCAATGTCAAACAGAAAAACTGCCTGAACGGTTTAGAAGTCTATCACATCATACCACGTTTAGCGTACATCTAATGGCACAGAAATCATTTATCATTAAAGGCCTTTTTATATAGGTCAAGGTTGCTGGGACTTGGTGTTTTATATCTTACAGTTTAAAGAATGCTCTAAATTCTGGGTTTTTTAACTTTTTAATCTTTGGGAAGGAAAACTAAAACTTCCTATAAACTCAGATTAATGCCTGCTAATGCATGGAAAAAAAGAAAACTAAAACCTTCCTCCTACTATAAAAACAAAATAGTGTGGCCTCTGTTTCTTTTCTGATAAGAGTCTTAAATACCAAACAGTTAACTGCATAATAACATTTACTGGCAGCCAGGCAGCCTGCTTAGCAGATATATAAAGCAGGTAAAAGGAGAAAAAGTTAATTTCTTGGCTGAATGATTCCATCGGTAGCTATAGGGCAAACCTGAAAGTCTTTTAGTAAAGTAGCAGTTGGTTCTTCTATCAATCTGTAGCACACATACTCTTCCAAGGAAAGCATTAAATATGAAAATCATATCCCGTTATCATCGGTTTCCAGCTTTCAGCCCAGTAAGCTTTTCTTAATGAATGCTGCAGCCTAAGGAACAAGCACGCTGTTGGCTTCTCTGAATAATGGAGTGATGCTACCATTTTTGCTTATTACAATATCGACTGGCTGAGGGGGTTTCACACATAGTCACAAGTGACTACTCTTGCCAGCATGCTCCAAGTTATTACAAGATGTTTTTAGACATTTCATCTAAAAGAGCTTTACTGCTTTTAGTGAAGAAAACATCTATGGTCTTGAACAGAATCATTTATATGGAGATAGGCTGCAGGATTAGAAGCCTGCATTACGGCAGATACATAGCAGAATTTATTTAAGTATTCCTTGCCAGTCTTTTTGTCTGTTGCTTAGATATGCAATCTTTTCTTTCCACTTCCTCTGTAAAAAGGTTAAAATGTACAAAATTATATATACAAAGAAGAGAAGCAAAAGGCCGTATTTTGTTTACCTTTTACTTAAAACATTTCTGGAACTAAGAAAAAAAAAAAGTGGCTACAAAGCATTATTTAGACAAACATAATTTCACCCGCTAATGCCTCTAAGGTTTTCTTGGGAATCTGTCTCTTTTAAACCTGCCCGTGACGGCCTTTCAGCACGTTTAATTGAATTAGACATTAAAGCAATACTCTATAAGGAAAAGTCTTTGAATAATACTTAAGGGTTAATCAAAAAGATCTTTCCAATAAGATGATTTTATTTAAAACACTATTGTAAAAGAGGAATACTCCAGAAATCCTCTGTCAACAGAAGGTTTATTACTTTAATTTATTACCTTTCCTCTGTCTTCATCTTCCAGTTCGCCTCTTGTTCCCAGGCTCTCTTTTGACAGTAGCTGCATCTTCTTCATTTGAGCCTCATATTCGTTCTAAATATAAACAAAGTTTTGATTTTTTCATGGCTCTTATGACAACCAGCACCTGTCTATATTTTTCAGTCCTTAGAGCATAAAAAGAACACTGAAGTAGAAAGTAAAAGCTGATGTTGTCAAGAAATTCAACTTAGAAAATAGATGATTTCACAAATAAAATGTCAAAAGCTGAGTTCTATAAAATGCTATATTTTTTAATCCATTTTTATTTAACTTCCCCCCCAAAACATTTAATTAACATACAATGTATTATTTGTTTCAGGGGAAAAATGCTTATTTTAAATAAGATTTGATGGATTCTCACTGTCTTTCATCAACATAGGGAATAAAACGTTGGCACATTAAGCGCTCAGGAAAATCCAGTTACTTTATTATGAAAGTAACACATTGGACAGTGTCTACTCTGAAAACTTTTGTCCTAAAGGAAAAGAAATCAATCCTACTGACTTCTTATCTGTGTGATATCTACATTAGTATCATGGTGCTACTATGATATACTATTTGCTAGATCATTGACTTGAAAGGAATTCCATTTTTTATGAATAAAGATATATAGTAGACATCAGAGATCAGCACCATAGGAATGATGTTTGCTCTGGCACTAATAACTACATAAAGATGTCTGCTTCATTATCACACTATAATTGATGAAAGTGATTCCATCATAAAATGACTTTTTCTTAAAAGCAAGGCATAAAAGGTGCTTTGATTCAGTATGTTAGTAGTTAAAACCTTAAGAAATTCACTAATGGTGGTCCATCACAGATAAGTATCAGAACATTTTCTAAATTAGACCATGATGCACTGCAATTAGAAATATACCTATGGGAGAGAAAAAAGAAATACACCTATGAGATAATCAAAGTAGAAAACTGTTTCCTTAGTTCTCAGTCTGAACATGAAATTGGCCTCAGCTTTGTTCTGACATACAAAAAAACAGTGATGAAAATTGATTTGTTTCCCTCAAAATATCTTAAAGGGTATTATATGCTGCCCCATTTTTAATAACAGTTAAGCAGGGAATTTTTCCTCTCTCAGAATATTAACATGATAGATGAAGGTAATGATCTAAAGAGATTCCTAATTAAACAAAAGTTTTATAAGGCCAGTACACACAATAAACCAAGAAAAGATAAAGAAATAAGGCAATTAAGATAATATAATTTACATCTCTCTGTTCTATATCTACCCCTTTGGACTCAGAGATATTTACTTTTTAACCCCAAAAGCTTTCAAAAGGCATACTTTACAGATTCTAAGGGAAAGTATCCTTATAAAGGGATGGGGTAGATTATGAAATAAACAAAATAAACATTGAGTTTTATTAAACAATTAGAGGTTAAACACAAATTCTTCATTCCTGTGGCTGCAAATATTTCCTTAGGTTCTTTGAGATCAGTTATAAACATGCAACAGGCATTGTATCTGATTTCCTCATTATGGGATTATTTCAGAGCCACACCTTCCAAAGGCAGAGTACTTTCTCATGGAAACATGTGAGTTTTGTTTAATTCATTTTGCTGCAGCAAAAACTGATAACTGCATTAAGGCTTTATAAAGAAGTCTCTTCACTAGTCCAATTTAGACTGTTCTCAGTGCATCCAAAAAATTTACTGAATTGTAGGTACTTTTCTAAATTAGTGAGAAAATAAAAACTGAACAATGTATTTGAAATTAAAAGTTGCTATAGGGGCGCCTGGGTGGCTCAGTCGCTAAGCGTCTGCCTTCAGTTCAGGTCATGATCAAGCCCCGCATCGGGCTCCCTGCTCAGCGGGAAGCCTGCTTCTCCCTCTCCCACTTCCCCTGCTTGTGTTCCTTCTCTCCCTGTGTCTCTGTCAAATAAATAAATAAAACATAAAAAAAAGTTGCTATAAAAATCGAACAATGTATTTGAAATCAAAAGTTGCTATAAGTGGATAATTGATACAAACTATAATTCTACATCCCCTAGGACCACAGACTTGCACCTACAAATGCTCTCTTTGCCTTTTATTTATACATAGGACACTTGGTTACCATCCAACAAATCCACCTTCTGAACACTGGAGAGCAAGGGTTTTCAACCCCCACCTCCTATTCTATCTGCATATAAACGAAGGGTTGTACTATGTTTAAAAGTTTTTGAAGTTTGGAAAACTGTATAGATGAACCTTTCCAAAACTTTCACAGCTAACAATGTCTGATGAGACAGCAGAGCACACGTCCCAGTTTTCCAACCATCAGTCTTTCATGTTTTATTCCCCATTTCTTCTCTGATCAGGTCCCATTATATTTCCACAATACATCAGGGCTTGTATTGCATCCTTTCTGTCTGGTGCTGACTCAGGTCCCTGTTCCCTCCTTTGTGTGGCCTAGATTCCTCACTGTCAGATTTGCTGCTTTGGGGGCCAAAGTTCTTATGTCCCAGTAGCATCTCCAGTCCACAGCCTCTCTAAGGACAGTCCTTTCTTCCCCCAACTCCCCTAGGGAAATCTGTTTTAATAAACCCAACAGCACAGAATCAATCCATCAGGTAACTTGTTCTGTCCATTACCGTCTTGCTTCACAGCACTAGGCTGGATACTGCCCACCTACATTTGGGAGGACTCTTCTACTCACTTCCTTACTATGCGTAAACCATTTCACCTCAGCTCAACTGATGAAATCTGTTGAGGATGGTTTTGGGTGGTGGGAAGAGGGGATGGAGGTCCTTGAGGGTCTTCCAGGTCTCTAAGATATCTCTCCATACTCATGACACATCTCATTTTCCATTCTTTCCTTCTTTTCTTCTGTATTCCCACTTATATTCCTTCAGTTTCCCCTCATCACATTAGCACTTGCCTGAAGTGTCACCACTACCTTTTACTGAAACAGGCTTCCTTTTTTCAGTGGTCTTTGGGATTATATAAACATTCTCAGTTACAGAACTGAACAGACATTTAAAATCTACTGGCCCAGCCTCCTCATGTTGGAGTTGAAAAGATGGGTACAGAGAGTTACACAAACTGTCTGATGTGACCCTCAGGGCTACAGTTCACAATCTTTTGTTTTCTCTTCTATTTTCTTCCAGTATACAGGTTTCCTCTTAAATGCTGAGTTTTTACAAAAAGGTATGGAGAACACTTACTTATATGCAACTAATGCATATTAACAAGTAAGACACTCTTATCCTAAAAAATAGGATAAGCTACAGACTGTCTTCCAGGAGCCTGAAGGCCATGCCCTGTCCACAGTGGCTGTCACAACACTCAGCAGGAATTGAATGAGAACTCAAAGATTTGTTCTCTTCAAATTTTATCCCCAGTAGGCAACTATCACCTAAGAACTGAATTTTTAACAAGAATCACATCTTTAATGGTAACATTATATCTTTAGAGTGCCTCTGCTATTAAACAGAAATACTCCTGGGAAGGTATAACACAGGATAGAACCAATACCACATTAGCTCTCCCATAGTTGTCCGTGGTCCATAAGAGAGAAAGATGAAAAATACGGAAGAATCAATTTTCGGTCATGGGGGGTGGGGGGAGTCTCAATGCTTACTGAGTGCTTCAAGACTACGGAGGTGTTCCTCAATGCTAACCGAGTGCTTATTATATGCCACATTCTGGGTCAAATACTGACAGCATTGAAATAATAAGATGAGGAGCCCACAGTGAGGTGGGAAAACATGTAAACAATTGCACGAAGGAAGTGCTTACAGAGATAATTATGGCACAGACCTAAGGCAGGGACAGAGGGAAAGAGGCCTTCTACTTGAAGAAGATAGGAGATAATGCGGTGCTTTCAAGGAAATACAGTGTTCAGCATGTTTAAAATTCAGTGGGTGTGCGTGAGTGAGTATATGCATGGGTGAGAGACAGAATGAGCACATGCGTGGGAGATAAAGATGGAGCGGGATGGGGGGAAGACACGGGGGTGAGGGAATATTGCATGAGGGGGTACAGAGGAGACAGGGGTGAGGAGAGCTGGGGGTGGGGAGAGGGAGCGAGCAGAGATAGGAGGCAGAGATGGGGAGAGAGGAAGGAGGTGGGGGGGGCGCGTGGGGAAGAGAAAATGTGCACATGTCTGTGTATTTGTGTGAGAGGGACAGTAAGAAGAAATGTGTTAGTGCGTGCACGTGCATGCATGTGTTAAGGGTCATAAGGCTGAACTGCGGGATGGTATGCAGGCAGAGAGCAGCATCTGGGCTTTGTCCTAAAAGGCTGAGCAAGCACTCAAGGCTTTCAGGCAGATGAGAGACATAACCAGATGATGATTCTCCTCAACTGAGGAACCCCCTTGGATGAGCTGACATGCCAGCCTCATGCCTGGCACTTGAATAGGGAAGGCTGAAACAGAGCTGGTCATGTTCGACACATGCCCCTTGGGACCCTTTTGGGTGCTCCAAGTCCTAGCATCTGTCTCTGTGCCCAAGGAGCTCACAGTTAATTTCCCCTCACTGCCTCTCTTCCCCATCAGTCCTCAATCAGTGATGCTCATGAGCCATGTATGCATATTCCAAATGCTCTGAACCACTCTCCAGGGTTTCCCTGTGGGGTTAAGTTCCAGATACCGACTATGGTAGTTGGCTTAGTGATACACCCTGTTCCAGCCACCTGTCGCTCCCTGTCTCATCTGCCTACTGACACTCCCTGTACTTCCCAAATAAACCACTTACATTTGAATCCTTGTCTCAGGGTCCACTTCAGGAGAACCCAACTTGAGATAAGGTCAAAGGGCACCCAAGGAACACTGCTCTAAGGACCAACTGGGGCTCTTCTACAAAAGCACAAATGCAGGGAGCGGGGTCTGGAGGGGGTGCAGAAAGAAGGAGAGAAGGACACAATCCTCACAACACTACTAATATTTACATGCTTGAATGGAGTTTAGTCAGCCTCTTTATCTCACAAGTAGCAACACAGCCACAACACTGTATTTTCAAATCTACATGACAGATCAACAGTCTTTAAAAGCCCTGAAAATGATCACAAGTCCCCAAATAAAATAGTATAATTCATAAAATCAGTTGAAAGGGTATTTTTTTTTTTAGTCTTTATCCCATTTAAAAATATTCTCACATTATATAATAAAGTGGGCATAGTCCTACAAAGAGGGAGAAATGCACTTAATATAATTTGGGCCAAATGACAACTTCTTGCACATCGCTTCACTCTATTTCACTTTCTGGAACTCTACCAATTGTTAATTCATTTGCATTAATTACAGTCTATTCAAGGGGAAATGTCCCTGGCATTTTGGGGTGTGTGGGCAACACGCTCCATTAGAACACCTCTCTCCTAAGACTTATACGTGGTCAGCCAGCAGAGGAGGTAAAAATCTGATAGGGGAGTGGGGCGGGATTAAGAGGAAACAAGTTGTTCTGGCTTCCCTAAGACCGCCACTGGACACCAGGACAAAAGGAAGAGGCAGAAAGGAAGGGGAAGACAGCAGGGACAAACATCCCCTTCTCTGAAACTCTGCTTATCACACAGTTTGCTGAGGTAAGTGGTGTCACTAGCTGGAGTTTCAAACATCACTACTTGGTTTCACAGGCACAGTTCAAGCATTCAGCTCTGGACTCAGGGTGACTCCCAGTGTACAGTTCTCCATGGAACTCACATCCTTCCCAACTGTAGCTACATGGTCTGCTCTTCTATGCCATCACAGATTGTTTTCAAAAGGCATTCCTTATCCAAGACTCAACTGCTCTTTTTTGATTTGATTTGAAGATTTTATTTATTTATTTGACAGAGAGAGAGAGAGAGACAGCGAGACAGGGAACACAGGAGAGGGAGAAGCAGGCTCCCGACTGAGCAGGGAGCCCGATGCGGGGCTCGATCCCAGGACCCTGAGATCATGACCTGAGCCGAAGGCAGACGCTTAACTGACTGAGCCACCCAGGCGCCCCTCAACTGCTCTTGATATAAAAATATTTACAAAGGATCATTCTCCCTTTCAAATTCTTCCCTCTCACATTTGGCTATATCGTGAAATCAACAATTAAGTAAAGCATCAATGTAAAAATAAAAGGAAAACTTCTATTATTTCCTTTTTTCTATTGGGAAGGCAAAATTCCCTGCTTTGTCCACCACTTTCATTTTCTCTGTGGAATCTCTGAACAGCAAAGAGATTTACATTGTTGATACTAACAACTGCTTTTTTGAACGTTAAGTATTCTAGTTGAATAGTAAGAGAAGAAAACCCGGAGTGCTGCAGCTAAAACTTCCTATTGCTTGAGCATATCTAACCTCCAGATCTTGGTTTCTAAATACCCTTCTCCACTAAAAGGAACCACAGCTCCTTGGAAAAGAGGCTAATTTCATGTCTGAGGCAGGGACATATCCGGTAAACCTGGCACACCTTGTGCCCCAAAGCCAAGAAGGCTCAGAATTAATGGGGTCAGGTCAAAAGGACACAGAAGCCAATTTGAAGAGACTCTCCCAGGCAAAATTTGGGAAAATATGAACAACAAAAAGAATAATTACAGTGATTGATAGTACACTGACTAAATAAAAATTCACAAGTCCATGATGATACTTAAAAAAAAGAGAGAGAAAAGAAAGCAAGAAAGCTCTTCTCTATAGAAGAATGCCAGCTGATAAAGTACAAGTCTGAATTAGAAAAACCATTTCACAACCTCCACTATAACTGATTCAGGCATCACTGACAGATCCTAAAACCACTAGGTAAAAGACTGTGGAGGAACAAAATATTCCCAAGATGTCAAACTATCACTTCATAGATTATTTGCTCAGTTGCAAAAAAGGTACTATATAATAGAGAGATCTAGAGATTGCCATCTTAACCAATGCATCAAACTCAACCTCACTTAGATCAGACCACCTGACATCACAACTGATGAACCTCCTGATAGGATGCAATAGGAAGTATGTAACCTCAGCTATGACTATTTAAATTTAACAAATTAAAATTAACAAAGTTAAAAACTCAGTCCTCAGTGTCACAAGCCACATTTTAAGTGCTCAGTAGCCATATGCGGCTAGTGGTTACTGTATTAGACAGCAACAGTACAGAGAGTAAACATTTCTATCACTATAGAAAGTTCTGTTGGACAGTGCTGGTCTAATCCAAATTTTCAGTTAAATGATATCTCAAAGAAATAACCAAATTCAGATCACTCTACAGGCAATTAGACTACTTTCTTCAAAAAGCCAGTGTCATGGAAAAAAAAAAAAAAAGAAGAGTGGTAGGAGACTAAATTAGATTTGCAGACCAAAAAAGATACAATAACCAAGTGTAATGTTAACTTGGCTCCTGGTCTGGAAAAATAAGAGAATTTTGGAGGGAACTGGGGAAATTTAAATATCGGGTGGATATTAAATGATATTATTAGTTTTCTTAGGTGTGATAAAGGTAGTATGATTATGTAGGAGACTTTCTTTTTCTTAGGAGATCAACACTCAAGTATTTAGAGGAGAAATGTCATGGTGTCCACAGCATACTTCCAATGGCTCAGGAAAACATGTGTACACACATACACATACACACACACACACAGCAAATATGGTAAAATATTTACAACTATTGCATCTGGGTAGAGAGTATGTGAGTTTTCCTAGTCCATTCAGGCGGCTATAACAAAACACCACTGACTGGGTGACTTATAAACATCAGCAATGTATTGCTCACAATTCCGCTGGAGGCTAGAAAGTCCAAGATCAAGGCTCCAGTGTGGTCACCTTCTGGTGAGGACCCTTCTCATTCAGAGCCACCACCCTCTCACTATATCCTCCAATGGTAGAAGGGACTAGGGAGCTCTCTGGAGCTTCTTTTAGAAGGTATCCTATGTCATCCATGAGAGCTCCACTCTCATGACAGAAGCACCTCTCAAAGGCCCCAGCTACAAATACCATCACACTTGGGGGTTAGGACTTCAAGATATGAATTTCAGGAGCATACAAACATTCAGACCACTGCATGAATGTTCATTATAATAATTCTTTTCATTTATCTACATACTTGAAATAAAGGCTCAGTGGGGGAAACTCCTACTAGAGGAAAAAAAAAGGGAAGTACTGAAGTCAACTTCTGTAACCACTATTCAGTTGGGTTAACTTGAGCAACAGCCCTTGGCCAGCACAAATGGTGAGAAAAAAGGCCTAGCCCTCCATACATGGCATAATTTGTGAGCCAAAGGTTGCCCAGCACCTTAGGGTAATGGGGTCCAAGAATCAGAGAGGGCCATGGAGAGCAGTTGCTCTGGGTCACACAGCTGAGGAGCATAAAGGCAAACTCCGTGGGGCCAGTTCTACCCTCTGTCTCTCCCCAACACACTGCCTGACCAGAACAGAAGAGCCCAGACCCCAGAAAAAGAATCCTTTAAAGGAGGTAGTCCCCAAAAAGAATGACAATGACATGGATGGACCTAGAATGTATTATGCTAAGTAAAATAAGTCAGATAGAGAAAGACAAATACCATTTGATTTCACTCATATGTGGAATTTAACAAACAAAACAGATGAATATATGGGGAGTGGGGGAAGAGAGAGGCAAACAAACCATAAGGGACTCTTAACAGAGAACAAGTTGAAGGGCTGATGGAGGGAGGTGGGTGGGAGATGGGCTGGATGGGTGATGGATATTAAGAAGGGCACCTGTTATGATAAGCAATGGGTGTTGCATGTAAGTGATGAATCACTGAATTCTATTCCTGAAACCAATATTGCACTGTATGTTCACTAACTAGAATTTTAATAAAATTTTTTTAAAAAGTTAACTTGATAAATGAAAAAACATAAATAAAAAATAAAGAAGGAGGTAGTCTCTAGAGGGATCCCTAATGCTGTTCAAATTCAATCATAAGGCCAACAAATACCATATGCCAGGTCTGTGCCAGGTAGTGGCTAGTGCCTGTGCCTGTACAAGGTAATTATTTGTGTAGTATAACAAAGTACAGATATTCCATTAACTCCTCAACTAAAACAGAAATCTGAGAAAATGCAATTTCAAGTTCCCCAATCAAAATTTGGCCACACAGAATCCACAGAGAAAATGGGCAATTAATCTTATGGATGAACAACCGAACATTAGTGACCACTGATCACTAACTGCTCTTACTTCCTTCCAATTTTAGCAAAAGAGACCGAGAGAGAGAGAGAGTACAAAACAAGATGTTACCTTCAGTTCTTGAAGCTTCTCTGTATTTGTGGTAAGGTGTCCAACATGAGCTTGGACATGCTCAAACCGCTTTAAATATTCTTGGTTTCGGGTATGAGCCTTCTTTTCTGATTCACATATTTCCTTCAGGTATTTCTTTAGTTTAACATACTTCAGCTTAACTCTAGAAAAATAAAAGCATATTTTTAAACATTGCAGTTAAATTCTGACAAATCAAAGGAGGAGAATTTTCTTTAACAAAATTGTTAATGAGACAATATATTCAGAGATATTTTACCCAAACACTGGAAGCTAAGGGCAGAATGTACATGCATTTTCAGAGAGAAGAAATTAATGCAACATCATTGAGTATCACATCCAGGCATAACTCTCCTGAGAAATGTATACAAGACTACATTATAACATTCACACAATAAAGATTTATGTGGATTTCTTTCTCAAAATTAAATGTGATTTCAAGAGCGGTGTCTATGCAGCCATGGTCGGATGAATAGCCCATTAGCATTCTTTTTATGACAGACCATTTCAAAACTACCTGCTTAGATGGAAACAGAATCAAACTATAAACCAAAATCCATAAACATTAAGAGATTCCAAAATTTAAAATATCCCAAAAGCTCTCATTCAGATAATATTAAAAATTTTAATTAGGAACTGTCACAATATATTTTTAAAATATTTTATGATATATATGAGCTGTATAATTCAACTTGAATTGTGAAAAGACCTTTAGAGACTCTCATCCAAAGTGTAAAACAAAGAGTACACTACTCTTTGCACAGAACCAATGCTGCTCGCTCTAGCTCTGGGTGATGATGAAGATTACCCAGGGGCAGATAACAGAGGGTCTGGTAAGCTGTTGTGCCAGATACTCTGTAGACCGTCCTCACACCCTCCTGGCCCAGCTCTTCCTCTGCCAGCCATCTGGTAGCACCTGTCTCAGCTGCATCTGGTACCTTGCTTTCCCAGAGCTACTCCTCTGAGTTCGCAACATGGATTCGAGAAGGAGTTAACACCTCCTGGGGCAGCCCTGCACAATGCAGAGTTACCAGCAGGTAAATGGCTCCCCTTCCTTCCCTTGAGTGGACACTTGTGAGGAGCAGGGAGGCGGGCTACATGGCTCCCCTGAAGGTCTGAAGGATGGAGCGCCAGGTGCCCACAGCAGTGGCCAGCTCCTACTTCATTCTTCCCAGCTCTGCTCGCCAGTTTTATGTGACCACTTCCTAAAATAAACTACCATCTACACACAAACCCTTGTCTCAGGCTCTGCCTTCTGGAGGGGGCGGGGGGACAAGATTGAAATAGCCATGTCAGACAGTTTGGATTTTTATCCTGTTAGGAAGTCAAAGAAAGTTTATTTTTAGCAAATCATTCCCTCTGTCTTCCAGGAAACGAGAGGCTAAGTAAGAGAGGGGAACAAACTCGGCAAACTGATAGCTTGGTAAAGGTCCCCAGGAAGCCAGGAATAGGCTGCAGGTAAAGTCTCCACCCCTTCAGCCATCCCCTTAGCTGAGGGCTACAAAAATGGCAGCTGCCACAGATGCTCTCAGACTTGGGCCCATTTCTGAGGCCATGGCATCCACAACACTGCTATTACTTGCACCATCTCACTGGCTTTTTGTCTCTTCTAGAAATACTGGGGACATATCACTGTCCACCGTGACTGGTATCCTTGGAAGTACACTGAATCCTAAAACCGTATGAGGAAACAAATGGATCCGATGGGAGGTTTGGTTTTAAAGTTTTCTCTCAATTCTGAATGACATGTTTTCATTTCTCACTCACATTATGATGAATCACAAAATTAATGCTATCACAGCGAGAAATTTTTCATATGAATAACATTGGAGGGGCGCCTAGGTGGCTCAGTCGTTAAGCATCTGCCTTCGGCTCAGGTCATGATCCCAGAGTCCTGGGATCGAGCCCCACATTAGGCTCCCTGCTCAGTGGGAAGCCTGCTTCTCCCTCTCCCACTCCTCCTGTTTGTGTTCCCCCTCTCTCTGTCTCTCCCTTTGAAAAAAAATAAATAAAATCTTAAAAAAAAAAAATTGGAGGCAATACCACACATTTGGCTTAAGGATGAAGTTCAGTTTCCATAAAATAGAATTAAAAATATTAAAAGTTGGCTCTTCATATTAGAACCCAGAAAGGATAACATGTATTTTATCCATTGCTCATAATAATTTTCACAGGCATTGTCAAATACCCATGAACAAATGAGACACCACATAACCTTGCCTTCAACAGTTGGTTGAAAGGCCAGCTACAGTCATTATGCCTTGATCATTACACAGGCTTAATATGTTTAAATTGTGACCAAAAAGATAAGACTATATAATGTATCTTATTCTTCAGATATATAGGCCAAATAGATTCCTGAAATACCACAAGTACCAAATAGTGAAAATAAAACAATTTTTATCTTACACAAATTTTAACGAAATTTATTCCTACATTTGATAGGATTATATTACATTTCATTGTTTACTGGAAACGAGTATACACTAGACACAAGAGAACAAAGTACTGCAATTATGGTATCTGTAACATACATAAGGGTTACATTTTTATTGATTAACATCGGCCAACTGGCTTAAAAACTGTTACCACTGTCACATCTTACCTGTATACATCAGATTGACTATATTCATACAGTTTCTTTTCCAGGTCCAGTCTCTTTTTTTCACTATAATATAGAAAGAAAATATTTTATAAATAAGTTACACTGATAAGTAATAGGCAGTTGGATTTAGAACATGATCTCTTTTGAAATTACACCTTTGTGAGAATGCTTCTCTGGTCTTTCTAAGAAGTAGAAAATGCCAGCTGTTTGAAACTCAAGACACAAAAATATTTGGTAGTCACCATGGAAATCTAAAAAGCAAAATGATACCAATATGAAGCAAAAAGAACAAAATTTTCAAAGTAAATGGTAGAAAGGCACTAAGAAAAGACTGGAAAGCAGGTTCATTCATTCAACAAGTACTTCTTGAGTGCCATGATGAACGAGGTACTGTTCCAGGCCTGAACACTAACATGGCGAACAAGCCAGCCAAGGGCTCTGCCGTGGGCAGCTGACATTCTAGAGGGAAGGACAAGCAATGAACAAGATAAATACGTAGAATATACTATGGCCAGATTTTTCTGAGATAGTGGCATTTGAGTGATGGGGGTTCCGCCAGGTCAAGACAACATACTTCCACAAATCCACCCTGGACTGAAGACTGGTGGCTTGCTCTGCTCCCAGCCAGACAAGCCTGGGCAGAGCCAAGTCTCTGAAAAGTATACCTAGCTCCATTCACATTTAATGAAGACCAAGTCCCCAACACTATTACTTTGGATTTGGAGGAGTTTCTTTTTATCTTTGTGACATCACCATGATTTGTCACTGACTGCTACTCCCTGGAGCTACTTCCAGGAAGGACTTAGCTTGTACTGTTCAGGTGGGTGCTGGCAGTAAGCTAGAGGACAAAGCTTACCCTGCATACCTGTATACCCAAGCCTGGTAAGAGGGAAGGGAAACTGGGCAGCAAAGGAGGTAGCAACAGTCAAAACCAAAGGGCTATGGAGTACAATTGCTGAACAGGACTAGCCATCCCAGTCCCAGAAAGAGCCCTTGGGCAGGTTTAGCCATGGGGGGGGGGGGGGGGGGGCGGGGTTTAACCACAGAGTTTCTGTTCCACCACCAAAGTATAACCTTCAACTGAAGCCAAATTGCTAATCTAAATTAACATTAACTAAGCCCAAAAGAAAAATCACATAATGTCTGCAAGAAAAATGCCAGGAAAAAAAAAAGACTGAATCAAAGTCCAGCAGAAGGTGACCTCAGGTGGTCCAGCTAAGGGAAAGGGGCTGAACCCATGTTCCATGTGGGAGCTCTTAATTATTAGTTTCTGTTTTTCTTTAGATATGTTTTCCCTTTAAAAAAAAAAATTCCCAAAAGTTACTCTGTTAGCTACATTAGAAATTAAGTATATTTCTTTGCTTAGCATAATCTAGAATGGAAACTACCACTTAACCAAATTCTTTTAATGGGAAAATGGGGTCCAAAATCCAAACACCAAATCCTAGCTCGGGAATACAAGGTCTATTCTTTAGTTAGGGTGTACCTACGTTTAAAAAGGAAAAAAAGATTCCAAGGAAAAAAATCATAGAGATGCCATTTTTTTAAGTAGTAGCACCACACACATTTTTACTTTGTCATTAATAAGAGTGAACTTATTTTTTGTGTATGGTGTAAAAAAATGGTCCAGTTTCATTCTTCTGCATGTGGCTGTCCAATTTTCCCAACACCATTTGTTGAAAAGACTGTCTTTTTCCCATTGGATAATCTTTTCTGCTTTGTCAAAGATTAGTTGACCATAGAGTTGAGGGTCCATTTCTGGGTTCTCTATTGTGTTCCATTGATCTATTTGTCTGTTTTTGTGCCAGTACCATACTGTCTTGATGATTACAGCTTTGTAATATAGCTTGAAGTCCAGAATTGTGATGCCCCAGCTTTGGTTTTCTTTTTCAACATTCCTCTGGCTATTCGGGATTTTTTCAGGGGTTTCATACAAATTTTAGGATTATTTGTTCCAGCTCTGTGAAAAAAGTTGATGGTATTTTGATAGGGGTTGCACTGAATGTGTAGATTGTTCTGGGTAGCACAGACATTTTAACAATATTTACTTTCCTAATCCATGAGCATAGAATGTTTTTCCATTTCTTTGTGTCTTCCTCAATTTCTTTCATAAATGTTCTATAGTTTTCAGTTTACCTCTTTGGTTAGGTTTATTCCTAGGTATCTTATGGTTCTTGGTGCAATTGTAAATGGGATCCATTCCTTAATTTATCTTTCTTCTGTCTCACAGTTTATAGAAATGCAACTGGTTTCTGTGCATTGATTTTATATCCTTCCACTTTGCTGAATTCCTGTATGAAGTTCTTACACCATACACAAATATAAACTCAAAATGGATGAAAGACCTAAATGTGAGACAGGAATCCGTCAAAATCCTAGAGGAGAACACAGCCAGCAACCTCTTTGACCTTGGCTGCAGCAACTTCTTGCTAGACACATCTCCAAAGGCAAGGGAAACAAAAGCAAAAATGAACTACTGGGACTTCATCAAGATTAAAAAAAAAAAAATCTTTGGCACAGCAAAAGAAACAGTCACCAAAACCAAAAGATAATCGACAGAATGGGAGAAGATATTTGCAAATATCTTGTCAGATAAAGGGCTAGTATCCAAGATCTATAAAGAACTTATCAAAGTCAACACCCAAAAAACAAAAAATCCAGTCAAGAAATGGGCAGAAGACATGAACAGACATTTCTCCAAAGAAAACATACAAATGGCCAACAGACACATGAAAAAGTGCTCAACATCACTTGGTATCAGGGAAATACAAATCAAAACCCACAATGAGATAACCACCTCACACAGGTCAGAATGGCTAAAATTAACAAGTCAGGAAACAACAGACACTGGCAAGGATACGGAGAAAGGGGAACCCTCTCACACTGTTGGTGGGAATGCAAGCTGGTGCGGCTACTCTGGAGAACAGTAGGGAGGTTCCTCAAAAAGTTAAAAATTGAGCTACCCTACAACCCAGCAATTGCACTACTAGGTACTGACCCAAAGGATACAAACTTAGTGATCCAAAGAAACACCTGCACCCCAATGTTTATACCAGCCATGTCCACAATAACCAAAATATGGAAAGGGTACAGATGTCCATCGACAGATGAATGGGTAAAGAAGAAGTGGTATATATATACAATGGAATATTAATGGGCCATCAAAAATAATGAAATCTTGCCATTTGCAATGATGTGGATGGAACTAGGGTATTATGCTAAGAGCAAAATAAGTCAGTCAGAGAAAGACAAATATATGATTTCACTCACATGTGGAATTTAAGAAAAAAAAAAACAGGGCCATAGGGGAAGGCAGGGAAAAATAAAATAAGAAGAAAACAGAGGAGACAAACTGTAAGAGACTCTTAACTATAGGAAACAAATTGAGGGTTGCTGGAGGGGAGGGGTTGGGAGGATGGGGTAACTGGGTGATGGGCATTAAAGAGGGCATGTGATGTAATGAGCACTGGGTATCATAAGCAACTGATGAATCACTGAACTCTACCTCTGACACTAATAATACACTATATGTTAATTTAAATAAAGTAAAATTAAAAAAATAAGAGTGAACGTAGAAGAGAAGTGAAGGAAATACGGCATAATTGCTTCCATGTTAGAAATTTTTATTAATCACTTTTGCCTCTTCTAAAATTCCATGATTAACAGGATACTTAGTTCATGAAGAATGAATGACTGGACAGTGAGCTGTCATTAAATTACAAAGACAGAAAGACCATTAAGTGTGTCTATGACCTTGCGCCCTGATGTCATGCTTCACTTCTGTGCTATTCCTGCCAAGAAAGTGTTATCAGAGTCTGGTCATGAGGAACCATTAGATGGACCCAGTTTTAGGATCACCCTCTAGAATGAAAGTTGTACTCTATGAAACTGTCAGGAACACAGGACAGGGAATGACTACGGAATAGCTCCAGACTGGGGGAGACTAAAGAGACATGGCAAATGGGTACACAGATGGGATCTTGGACCAGTAATGAAAAAAGACAGTCTTAGGACACTTGGCAAAATGGGCAGGTGGTGAAATTTGATTGGAGTCTGTGGACTGGTATCAATCCGTGTTGATTTCCTCACTGGGAGAGTTCCAGGGTGCATCCATATCCAGAGCATCCTTGTTTTTGGAAACAGACACTTGAGTTTTTAGGAGTAATGGGGCATTTTATCTGTAGTTCTCAAATGGTTCGGAAAAGACTAATGACTTTGGACAGATGGGCAGATGGACAAAAACAGAAAAAATATAATGAAATGTTAAGAGCTGGGGAATCTGGGGGCACCCAGGTGGCTCGGTTGGTTAAGTGTCTGGCTTCGGCTCAGGTCATGATCCCGGGGTCCTGGGATCAAGCCCCACGTCGGGCTCCCTGCTCAGCAAGGAGTCTGCTTCTCCCTCTCCCTCTGTATGCTCTCTCTCTCTCAGATAAATAAGTAAATAAATCTTAAAAAAGAAAAAAAGAGTTGGGGAATCTTCTGGAGAATCCCAGAAGTCTTTATCCTATACTTGCAACTTTTCTGTAAGCTTGAATTTAATTCAAAATAATTTTTAAAATCCACCTATGACCTCTGGTGAAAAAGGTCTTTTTGGGAATCCATCATCTCCTGTGCAGCAAGTGCTTTTTAATCATAAACACAGAACTTCTTCGTTCTTGCTCTGTCTTCAGTAGATACATACATCTGCCAGTCACAATGACCTATTACAGCACTTGACATGGTGAAAAACCACAAACATCTCCTGGCCTCCCACTGAGGACAACATGATGCTAATCTCATTAGTCTTTAACGCAGGCCCTTTTCCCAACCTCCTCATCCACACTGCAGGGCTTCTGAATGCTGTCTTTCCTTTCTTTTTTAAATTTAAGACTTAAAACAAGATATTTACCCCAATAAAAAGCCAGAGAAAGGTTTATGGGGAGGATTATCTTGCAACCCCTATATACTAAATCTTTATTTCAGAATCTCTGAAACACCCAGCCCTGGGATATATACCCATAGCCCACGGTTTCCGTCACCTACACCCCTCACCTGGACCATTCAAAGGTTTACACAGATGGGTAGTCCTTAAGAGTGTAGCCACATGCTTTGCTTTTCTCCTTTTAAGCCACTTGTTATTCTGTTTTTGTCTCAATACCAACTTCAGCTTTACTCAACTAATATCTCAGAATCAATTTCTGGACTATTATGATATCTCACTCTGAATCAATAGTGGCATTGAAAAAACTGGGGCTGGTTAATGGGCCTTTTAAAGGGATGTTTTTATATAATTGTAAGAGTCAATTCCACTCACATGTTTCTACCATGCTTGTGGCACTACACACACCGTAACGAGTCACTCCAGCAGGCTCTTTAAGATTCTATGATTGATTTCACCAGAGTGCAGAGAAAACACCATACACAAAGAGGAAAAAATTAAGAATGTACATCTATGTGTGACTATAGCTGAGACAATATGGGCTAGAAATACACCACTTACAAAGGAAAGGCCCCATTATTAGACCAACTATATTAGACCAGCAATGAGCCAGCTCTAAGAAGGCCAGGAAAGGGCAGATTGCTTTTATTTCCCACCCCCAGGAAATTTCTGGACTGATAAAGCAGCTGTGATGACCCAGAGATGCAGCCTTTAAAATGAGTCTGAACTAAACAAAAAAGCAGGTACATTCAAACACTCAAATAGGATACAAACAATGATGCTCACTACTTGTTGCTTTGCAAACTACAGCTTCCAACTCTTCATTTGAAGCTCATTACTCTACTACACAAAAAACAAATCTGTGGCCTTACCGTATATATAATTCAGTGCTCTTCATTTCTGGTGAAGAACCAAGGTTCAGAGAAGCTGAACAACCTGCTCAAGGTCACACAACTGTTCGTAGAGCAGAACCCAAGTTTCTCTGCATCCGAAGTTATTTGCCTCTGTACTTACTATGCATTAGTTATGGACTTTTAAAAAGAAAAATAAAGAGCGCCTGGGTGGCTCAGTTGGTTAAGCGTCTGACTCTTGATCTCGGCTCAGGTCATGATCTCAGGGTAGTGAGATCAAGCCCTGTGTCAGGCTCTGTGCTCAGCAGGGAGTCTGCTTGGGATTCTCTCTCTCTCCCTCTGCCCCCCCCTTCCTTTCTAAAAAAATTTAATAAAACGAAAGATGAATACACATGCCACAGATTTGTACCAACTTAAAATTTTTTTAAAGACTCCAAATGCAGAACCATGAATAGGCTATAAAATTTGACTTGAATTCCTTATATAATTTCAACAGCCTCACCTTGCTTAACAGTTAAAACATTAAGTGTTAAACATAAAGTGAGTACTAATCATTACACAGTTATTATACTATAAGGACTATAAACAGCCAGGTGTTTCTAGCATAGGAAGCAAAAATGATAACTCACAATGAACTTAGTTCAGAAAGAATGCCATTTGGACCAGTAACATTTTAAAATTAGAACATGGGCTAAGAGATACAAATACCTAAAGGCCTGGGGTAACTAAGCTACTCTTCTAACAGAACAGTGTCAAAAGCACTTTAGGCGTGCTGATGTACAGAGCAGTGTCTTGTCTTTTAATTATAAGGTATGTGCAGACACTTAATACTGTCTTTGAAATATCATACTGTTCACTTTCCCTGGTTGACTGGAAAAGCATCATGATTTAGTGACAATGTGTGGCACCAGTGTTGTATACAAGACATTTGTAACTCCTGGACCCTGGATGGTTGGCTTTGGGATTTCTGCTATTCACTCAACAAACATTTGTCAAGCCCCTCCTCCCCTGAGGTACTCTATTACCAGCTAAAGATCCAGCTAAATATGGTTCCTGTCCTCCTGGAATTCTCTCTCTAATCAGGGAGCAAGTCACTTAAGCCATTTATCTACATTGCTGTAAAAATAAGAGATCACACAAGTTAGGGAATGGGTTGATCAATACTTGCCATAGGGAAGGCACTTCAGGAAGTGATTGTTTTAAAAGTTGAAGGTGAGGAGGTCCCTGGAGTGGGTGAGTGGCAGTAGGTCAGAAAGAAAATAGGATACAGGAAAGGATTAAGGGGTAAAATATGGTGAGGACAATTAAGGAGGCCTGTTGTGGATGCTCTATAAATATTTGACAAGAATTAAATCTAGGATAAGATGAATACAATTCCTTTTCATAACCACATACTGCTGCCTTTACCTTGCATGTAATTATTTTTATCATTTTATAATTGTCACACACAAAGCTCTCCTCTTCACTGAAATGATTTTGTAACTTTTAACATTCATTAAACGCTTTATCAAGCGATCCAAATATCTATTTCCTTTCTTGTCAGCTAATGAGATTTCCAACTCCAATTAGTTTAGCAGCTAAATAATAGTTCCAACAACTTATCTTTTATGTGGTTATTTATAGTAAATTGCTTCATAATTTTCTCTCTGTGCTCTTAGATCTAGCTGTTTTCAGTGGCTCTCCTCTTTCATGTCTTAAAGTATCATGAACCCTCTGGAAGCTGGACTTCTGTAAATTTCATCCCTTTGCTGGAAATCTGGCCAGCCCTCGTTCCCCCCAAAAATGTCTCCTGCATTTAAATAGGGCATATGGTTACACACACACACACACACACACACACACACACACACACTCCCGCCTGCGTTCCCGGACCTGTCATTATTGAAGCAGTGCAGCTGTCAGGGTGGGATGACAATTTGAAGAGAGACAGGGGAGGAGGCGTGTAGAAGGGAGTAGAGAAATTCACAAGGCGTGATTGAGAGTGACAGGCAAGAGAACTCCCACTCTCACTTCTGGGCAAATTCAGTGATGCCGTCGCATCCTCCGGCGGGAGACCTCCAATAAGGGCGATGGGGCACGGTATTTGGTAAACTTTGTCCTCCAGGCCCCACCGGGAGCCTGGGGGGGGGGGTCGCGGGCGGACCCGGGCCCACGGAAACACGGCGGGGGAGTGGTAAGGAACCGGAGTTAGGGCACCGGCGGAACCTTGGCCGGGCCCACTCCCCGCCCCCGCCCCTGCCCCGGGTAGGCCATACCTGTCCCGCAGCCGGTGCTGGAGGCGGCCCAGCCTCTCGTAGTAGTCGGGGCTCGCCAGAGGCTCTGATGATGTGGAGGCCGGACGCATGCCGCCGCAGCACTCGTTCCGCACAGCCAAGGGGCAGCCACCAGGGAGGGGGGCTGGCTGGTTGTCCGAGGCGACGGTCCCACCATGCACCGCGGGTAAACAGGGCGCCAGCCGCCATGCAGGGGGCGGGACCGAGGCCCTCAGGGGCGGGGCGGAGGCGGGGACACCGTGGATGGGCGGGGCCGACGCCGCGGAGGGGCGGGGCGGAGGCGGGGCGTCTTGTGAGGTTGCACTGGCAGTCTCCAAGAGGGCCGGTGGATCCTCTCTCTGTGCTGGTGGAGGGGTGTCAGGTCGTGTGGGCGCTGTTCCCCGGTTTCTCCGCCCCTACTCTGGCGTCTCCCTTTCCCCTCACCCTTCAGAATTCTCACGGGAGAGATCCTGGCCCTCCCAGAGGCAAGGAGCCCCACCGAAGGCCAAGTCAGAAGCCGGTCCTGATTACGCCCCCGACACCTTGGTAGAGGCTGGGGGATTGGGGGGAGCGCAGCTGGGCTGGAGCAATTTACTTGTTCATTTTTTTTTTTTTTTAACATTTTATTTATTTGACAGAGAGAGACACAGCGAGAGAGGGAACACAAGCCCGGAGAGTGAGAGAGGGAAAAGCAGGCCTCACGCTGAGCAGGGAGCCCGATGTGGGGCTCGAACCCAGGACCCTGGGATCACGACCCGACCCGAAGGCAGACGCTTAACGACTGAGCCACCCAGGCTCCCCTTACTTGTTCATTTTTGACTTTGTCATCAAACTACATTAATTTTCCGAGGTTCATTCTCTACTTCTTCCTACCACCTCTACTTCCCTTCTTCCAGGATTTCTGAGAGCCAGCACTGTGCTAAACTTGTTTTCCTACCACACTTAACAGCAAAACAAAACAAAACAAAAAAGACAAAACCCAAAATACTGAGCAACTGCGCTCAGCCCTGACAGTAGAACAACCCCTTGCTTGAAAGTCCGTGCTGACCCAAGGATGTGGTTAATGCTGCAAATGACATTACTGGTTGGTGAAGAGGGAAAAGTTGCTAACTAGCTGCTTATGAAGCAGACATTTGTTTGTGCAGACGTGGCTCTGTGGGCAAAAGCCCTGCAGAATTCTTCAGCAGGGATTCTGGAGCCAGACTGCCTGGGCTGGAGCCTCCTTTTCCTCAGCCCAGCTGTGTGACTGCAGGCAGGTCATCCTCTTGATGCCCAGACTTCCTCTTGTAAAACAGGAGGCTCTTAGCGCCAGGACCCACCTATGCCATTGTTATAATTACTAATTAATGTGTAATGTGTAATGTTTATAAGAGGGCCCAGCACATAGTAAGCATCAGTTTTTATCATCATCATCATCATCTTGGAGAATAAGCTTCCCAAAGAAAAACATATTCCAAAACGCACAGAGCAGAAGAAAAGGAACTACAGTAGAGAGTTTCTTTGGTCTCTTATTCTTCACTTGGTTTCTCTTCTCAGCCATTAATTTAACTTATTCTTATGTGCAAGGTGTGACTTCAGGTAGCAAATTGATCATTAGCGAGAGAGATGGACCACTTAAAGGTTGGCAATATAAAATTATAATGTTACTCAGCCTGCTCTTTATATTTGCCAGGTCCAGAGCAAGAGTTCTTGGAGGCCTTTGTGCTATCTTTTGAAGTATTAAACAATTATAACTCATGATGACAAGTTGTAGGTAAGCTATGTTCGCTCCTCCTACCTTGACCAATGTGCCTTCATAAGAACCAGGAAAACCACCGGGGAATTTAGTTCTATGACTCTTTCCCCTACTTACCCTCTTATTTCCCACCTCCGGCTCAGTCCTGCACTGTGAGAGGTTCCTACACGGGCAGAGATGTGTGTGTTCCCCACCCCAGTCCACAAGTGCCTGCTCTATCCTGATCCCCACCTTAGCCTCCTCTTGGCCACACATCAAGTCTAATGGTGAGCACACCAGTGATAGTCACCCTTGCAGGAATGATCCAGGAAGGAGGTCTCTACAGGCCTTGGAAAGGAGCCTGGGCCCCTTTCAGCAAAGAATGTCAGCATCATAGGTACCCCGAATGTGTTCTAGAAGGGTGTGTGTAATGTGTGAGCTCCAGGCAAGTCATATGCTGGCCCTGGGACCTCTTGGCCGTGTATGGAGTAGCGTGGCCAGAAAAGGGCCAGAACAGTCTCTATAATACACAGAAGCTGGGGCAGGGGTCCTCTTGCCTGGGTAGTACTAACGCTATATTTCTTAGTTGTTATAGCAAATCATTACACCAGATTGATTCCACGGTCATGTACAAAGGTTTATTTTGCTGATTTTAGTGCAAACTACATTTTACCCACCACACTGGCAAAAATAATGCATATTTTTAACATATTTTATTTAGGTTCACCCTCACCCAGATAAATTTTTTAAGGGAAAAAAAATCCCTCAATTAATATAACTAATTATTTTCAGCAAATACACAGAGTAAGCAGATGAAGCAGTCACTTAGCATCTCAAATTCTTATTAGGCCATATTAGGGGAGCCTAACTTAAATATAAATAAACAGTAAATAGATAATTCAAAATAATTATAATTTGCATTTTATAGCTGATTTATTAATGACATATGACAAATCTAGATGCAAGACCTTCTTTATTAACAATAAAACATAGCAAACTAAGTGAATATTTCTAGAGTATTTATGCTAAAATTATGCATTCTAAATGTTGACACTTTTAATAAATGCAGTGTTCTTCACTTTGAATATTTAATTTGCCGGAGTACTGTCTTTTAATATTGTTCTTAAATCCCTTTATATTAGCAGAACTGATTTCTATAAGCAGCTCTGTTTTTACTTACCTGGACTACAGGCCAGCAAGTCTGCCTGGATCGGCAAGGCTTCCCATAAGCTACAGAATGTCTTGGGTGGAAGTTAGAGAGAATCTAGTCATCCCTTTATTTTTTAGAGGAAGAAAAAGATTCGGGGTAGGTAAGGGACTTGGCCAAGGTCACACAGCTGGCAATCTGGGTGATAGCAGTGAATTTTGTTCTAAATATGGGTCTCCAGGAGCCCCACTAAACAAACAGTAAAAGAAAGCCAGTGTTTTATCCCTATAGTCATGGATCCTAGGATGACCCATATGAAGTTGCTGCTTTAGTAAGCTCAAAAACCAGACTGATGATTGGAAAATTGGTTTTGGAAATATGTTGGAACTGGAATTCTACAATTTAAATTTTACACTTTTAAATGCCATTTTAAAAATGGAAGCTGTATATTTGAGTCAAAACTGTTTGGATATTATGTTTGTTTGCTAGGGCTGCCATAATAAAGTACCCCACACGGGGTGGCTTAAACAACAAAAATTTATTGTGTCACAGTTCTGGAAGCTGTTAAGTCTGAGATCAAGGTGTTGGCAGGACTGGCTCCATCTGAGGGTCATGAGGAAGAATCTGTTTCATGCCTCTCTTCTAGCTTCTGGTGGTTTTTTGGCAATCCTTACCATTCCTTGGCTCATAGATGCATCATCCTGATCTCTCCCTTCATTTTCCCATGGTGTTCTCCCTGTGTGCATGCATGTCTCCAAATGTCTCCATTTATAAGGACACGAGTCATATTGGATTAGGAGCCCACCTTCCTCCAGTATGACTTTATCTTAACTAATTATCATATCTGCAATGACCCTAGTTCCAAATGAGGTCACATTCTGAGGTATTGGGAATTAGGACTTAAATATTTGAATTTGGGCGGGGGGGCAGTGCACAACTAAACCTACAACAAACACAAACGTGGAAAAATATTTCATTTTGCGATCACTATACAGAAATATTAGACATTGCGTCCTATGTTATTAGAAAATTCAGTTTGTACATAATAAAAAAAAAAAGAAAATTCAGTTTGTAAGAAAAGAGGGCCCAAAAGTAGAAGGTAGGAGGAAAAAGAAAGAAAAGAAAAGAAAAGAAAAAAGAAAAGAAAAGGTAGGAGAAAAGATTGTCACATGTATGTGTGTATGTAACTCCTCCTGTCACTGAGCATTGACACTGGTGTAAATATTTGTTGCCTTATTTAAATCCCATGACGGTCCTTTGAGGGCAATATGAGATTAAGCAACTGGCCTAAGATTAAGTGTATTCTTGGCCAACTAGGAGTAGGGCTAGAATTCAGGCACAGACCTTTTCCAATTCCAAAGCCCTTCCTTTCTTAACTGCCATTCTACATGGCCTTAAAATTCACCATTTGCTATTCATCGGTACCTACTGATATTTTTATTTTCCTGTATGAGATGTGTAAAATATAATGTATGCAGGAAGGTTTTTACATATACATGTGTCATTGTTTGGGGGAATAGTATTCACTGACAGAATGCATTTTTCTACATGCTATGATACAGCACTATGCGTTCACCATTCTGTTCATTTTTCTCTTTGGCACTTCATTTCTTATCCTTTCCAGCAGTTAGATGGGTGTATATGGCCCAGTCTGGCCAATGAAATATGAATGGAAGTGATGCAGCCACTTCTTGGCATAGCCTTCAAATATCCTATAATTTCTTCCCCACTTTCCATTTGTTGACCCACTACGTGCAGAGATTCCAATGGAGAACTCTGTGGCTCTGGAAGAAGAGAGAATGACTGCAAAGAGCAGAGGATGTGACTTGGGCAAGAAACAAGCCTTTATTGTGTTAAGCCATGGATATTTGGGGGTTGTTTGTTTCAGCAGCTGGCATTACTTAACCTGATTAATACACAAGCATTCCATAGAACAATTACACAAGTGCATTAAAATGCCTTTCCACAACATTCCCAAAGAGGATTTATAGGACTCTCCAGATGGTCAAGGAGATTGCAAACCTGGAACTCTGAGGTTAAGAGTCAATGTCTGAGGAAAATGCATCTAGAGCAGCTCTGTTAAATGAGACTTTCAGCAATAATGGAAAGGTTCTATTCTGCGCTGTCCAATATGATAGCCACTAGCTACATGTGACTATTGAGTCATTGCCAGCTAGTGCAAATGAGGAATTGAAGTTTTAATTTAATTTAATTTTAATGGATTAAAATTT